CTCACACACACACTCTCACACACACTCTCACACACACTCTCACACACACTCTCACACACACTCTCACACACCTGAGCACACAGAGGAGGGGCTGCAAGGCATTATGGGATGTCTGAGAGACACCGGGTCCAGCGTGTCTCATGAGGTGCGTGATTGGAGGCGAGTCTCAGGCTCCAGTGATTCGTGTCATGTGACGTTGACCTCCATCAGGTGATGGTCAGCGGCGGGCAGCACTAACACCTGCTGGCCCTGTGTGCCGCTGAACACCTGTCCGGGGCCGAAAGCCTGGCGTTTGGGCATCGGGCCCCGCGGCTGCGCAGACTCTCCGCTGCCCAGAGACTGGACACTGCCTCGGCTGCGCAGACTCGCCGTCTCCGCCTGATCCTCCAGAGACAGACTGTCGTTCTCCAGACACGAGTCTGCGGAGCACAGAGAGTCATGACTCATATGAACCAGAACCGACTCAACGAACCGATTCACTGAACAATCAGCTGAAACAACTCTTCACTGCAAACCGCCAAAATAAAAGTTAGACTTGAAAGAATTATGACGGAAAAAGTAACATGCACTTCTCAAATTCATAATTATTAATGATTAATAAAATACTATTTTTAAGTAATATTTTATTTGTAAGAATTTTTTTTCCTTCATGTTTTAATTTATACATGAAAAGTGCAGCACTGAATGAAAAAAATAAATAAAATGAAAATAATACAAAATAAAAGATGCGATTAGTAAAACAACAAATAAAAACAATTTAAAAACATTTAGTGTTTTGCTGTGAAGGAATTGTATTTTCATTTGGTTATCCATTTAAAGATAGATTAAACTGTTCAGGTTTTATGAATTTAGTGAGTTTAATGAATGATGAAATAGAATTGAGATTAGTTTCCCTGATGAAGTACATTTCCTCAAAGTTCTTCACTACAAACCAGACGAAATTGACAAAATTATGATTATACAAAATTAAAATTATGATTATAAAAAGTAAAAGCTACTTCTTAAATTAATAATAATAATAACATTTATTAAAATATCATATTGAATATCAGTCAAATATATTTTCTTTCACATTTTATTTATATAGTAAACCTCTGTTGTGCAGCACTTAATAATAATAAAAAATAAACGGTAATAATAAATTAATAAAAATACTTAGTTGTAAAGGAATTGTTGTATTTTCATTTGATTACATATTAAAAGATTGATCAAACCAGAGGTGCTCAAACTTTTTAATAAAAATGACCAAAAATCTAACTTTTGGGGCAAAAGTTACATTATATCCAAATATATTATATTAAAATGTATTAATTCAAGATGTTTTTAAATAATGAAACAAACCTTTAAATAGCAATTAATTGACATTTTAAAATAAGTTTTACATCAAATTCACTTATATTATTTTTTCAATGCAAAAAAAAAAAGAAGCTAAAAACAAACATAAAAAATATTTTTAAAAACATTAAATATAAAATAAATAATAAAATTAATAATTATTTATATAAAAAAATTATATATATATATTTATTTTAATTTTTTATATGTATATCAATTTAAAATGAAGATATGTTTTTTCTCCATGGCATAAAATCAAAGGTCATCAAAGGTCAACTTTGGGCATCTCTGGATTCATTCATAACAGTTGAAGAGTTTCATTAGTTTCCCATCACTTCTGATGATGGATCACACTAAAGCATGACGCGAGCTCTAGACAGAAGTACAGAGTCTGGCTCCTGACCGGTGTCCGGCTGGATGACGGGGCTGGCGAGGCGCGGCTGGTACTTGAACACACGGATGCTGGGGACGAGCAGGTGACCCGCGAACAGAGGCATGACCTCCATGTGAACCTTGTGTGTCGCCATGGCAGCCACCGGCATGGAGACGACCCCTGAACTCTTCCCGCACACCGCCCAGTTACTGCTGTTGTCAATCACTGCAGACACACACAAGTCAGCATCTTGATTATTAATACAAATAAAGCCAAACACTAAAGCAAAACATACTTGCATTTTACAAATTATGATTCAAAATAAATGCACATAAAACATAAAAAAGAAAAATATATATATATTAAATAATTTTACAGTACAATATTTTTATTTAGCAATAGCAATAAAAATAATAATATAATCATTATTATTTTATAATCAGATTTTTTAACTCTTTGCATTTTAAAACCGATGCTTTAAAAAAATAAACTTTTTGTTTTTGTGTTGTATTTGTTTATTTGGGAAGCTGAATGACCTAAAATAATCTGAATTTATACACTAAACCTCTGATATGCAGCACTTACAATAAAAAAAAAATAAAATAAAATATATATATATATATATATATATATAAAAATGCAATATTTTGTTGTAAATAAATTGTTGTATTTTAATTATAAAATTTAATTTAATTATAATTGCAGTATTTTAATTCACTTTTAACACATAAACCCGTCTGGAAAACATAATGACATGCATTTGCAACCTAAAATTAAATACACTAAACTTCTTAATAAAAATATAGAAAATACAAAATAAAAATAAAAAGGCAATGTTTGTTCTAAAGATATTGTTGTATTTTAATTATTTGCTTTTCATTCAATCACAAGTCTTAGTTGGGAAAATGTATTACAGTGCAATTAAAGCTAAAACATTAAACCTGTGATGTGCAGCATTTCATAAAAAAAAATAAAAATTAAAAATAAAAGCAACAATAAAAAATGCAATGTTTTGAAAAGGAACTGTTGTATTTTAATTAAATCTTGATTTATACAAGTAAACCTCTGCTGTGTAGCACTTCAGACATTTCTTTAGCCTAGCTCTGGAGGAGTCTGTACCTTCATACAGGAGTCTGCTGCTGCGCAGGCCGTCTGTCTCGCTGTACTCCTCGTCTGAGTCGCTGGCTTCAGAGAGACGTGTCAGAGACACCTCCAGCCTGCAGAGAGAACCGGTGCAACACTGCTGCTCTCCCACCGCCGGCCGGATCTCTGCTCGCACACTGTACAGCGTCTGACACACACACACACACACACACGTCAGGATCACACACACACACACACACACACACACACACACACACATACACACACGTCAGGATCACACACACACACACACACACACACACACATACACACACGTCAGGATCACACACACACACACACACACACACACACATACACACACGTCAGGATCACACACACACACACA